AAATACTTTTTGGGTGTAAATTAACAAGAATTATGCCAAATTTTACTAATGATGAATATGTGGACATGCTACAAGTGTATTTTGAATGTCGCAAAAACTGTGCTGCGGCAACAAGAGCGTATAATGAGAGATATCCAAATCGTCAAGTTCCCCACAGACAAACTTTTTCGGCGGTAAAAAGAAGACTTCGGGAAACTGGAAAAATACAGCCGCATATTGAGGGTACCGGCCGAAGCCCTACTATTCGTACTATGTATCTTGAAGATGCAGTACTTGAAGAGTTTGACGAAAATCGTCAGACTAGTACAAGAAAAACAGCAATGCACTTAAATGTGTCCCATAGTGTTGTTTGGAATATTGTCCTTGATAATAATTTATTATATCCTTTTCACCACCAGCCAGTTCAAGCTCTACTTGAACCAGACATGCACAAGCGAGTTGTTTTTTGCGAATCGTATCTTAATATTCTAAGAAAAAATTTGAATTTTGCCTCAAAGATACTTTTCACAGATGAAGCAACTTTTCAAAGACATGGTTTAACCAATATGCACAATCTTCATTCCTGGGCTCATGGAAAGCCTCACGAAGTATCTATGACAACCTTTCAACATAATTTTAGTTTAAACATTTCGGCAGAAATTGTAGAAAATGTGCTTGTCGGCCCTTTTGTTTTACCTCATCGACTTAGTGCTGTTGAATATTTGCAGTTCTTAAATGAGCATCTACCACCACTTCTGGAGGAAGTACCATTAAATGTACGTTAGGCCATGTGGTACATGCATGACGGGGCTCCTGCTCACAGCACTNAGTAAACTCAAAAAAAGAGGACGGGACATCGATATCAGATTTTTTGTATCTGTCACCGTTTTGGCTGTACCCTATAAAACTATCGAAAATCAACCACCCTGTACATACATAAGATTGTAAATCTAAATGAATGACCCCCATTTATGCGGAGACTACTTTCGCTCTTTAAAGACACGTAAATTTCGTTATAAAAACTAATTTTTTGTTTAATTTTCTTATCGCAATTTTCATATTCAGCTGCTGAACAGGCTAAAGTAACCTCAAACAAGCTGCGGCATACAGGGTTGTCAACTTTTTCCTTTCTTGATCCGTGAATGTTTTCTCATAATATCTCTAAAGATTATACACATATACCTACTACACAGAGAAGATTCACTAAATACTACTTTAAATTTTACTATAAATTCAAACTTAAAAAAAAACAGAACACGCACTATACAAATTCTATTTCGATTCCAGTAAAAAAGTAAATAATGAACTGCAAACCAAAATACAATGCAACTATCGTTTCGCAGACTCTGTTTTTTCCCATCTGCCACTCTGTTGTAGTCTTTCCGATATCAATTGAAGAACCAAGAGGTTGACAGTATGTACCAGGTTCGGTCGCTGACGCAGCTAGGTACTCGGCATTGAAATATTTAAAATACTTGTTCCCATATTTATTTAGCCATACCCATATAATACAGGTCTGGTCGAACGAAACGTGGAGGTGATAGATATCTATATGCGCAGTTGAAGAATGTGGGCGCGGGCAAACGAAATACAAACACAGCTGCATTTGGCCCCTGGGCAATAAATCTCAGCTGTTGACAAGCGGTTGACAAATTGCCCAGCAGAGCAGTGCAGCAATACGGAATTTGGTGTGATTCAGGTAATTTTAATTTATTATAGGCACCTTCTATTAATCTTTGATATTACAATTGCGAAAGTTAGAAATAATATTATTACAACATGGCATTTTGAAGACCGTTTGAAACGGAACAAAACGAAATTTACCACCAATATAATAAAATTGTTTGAGGAAATAAATAATTAAAATATCTTGATGGCCAAATGAACATATAATAGGAAATTTCTACACATTATATACAAATTATTATAATTTTTTACCTTTAGCAGAACGTTTTTTTGGGACGCCAATGAAAGTCACTAAATTTTATTGCCAGGCGTTTTTTATATGTTCAACTGACTTCGGAAAGACTATAACTTATCATATCAGGTGTAAAGTCAACTGATTCCAATCAAGTAAATAATGATCAAGCACGTGCTGCCGCAAAACTATTGGTCGAAAAAGGTTGAATGGCAATCCCCGCCACACACGCTTTCATGCAGAATTGGACTTGGACACATCGTACAACAATTTTCATTCAAAACTTACTTTTGTTGCTGCTTTATAACGTTTTGGATTAATTTAAGACGTCTAGAACAGGTTCGGCTTATGAAATGGCTGAATAAGAAAGAGATGTAAAAACATACTATACTTTGCTTAGAATGTTATACGTTTTAATAGTACCCGTTGTGGCTGCGTGAAAATGTTTACTTCGTTGGAATATGCAAAATGACCGTAATTATAGTTCATTTAAATTAGATCTATATCTGAGATCGTTAACACCGAGATTCATACACTAACACAGTGCTTAAAAAACATAAAAAAAAATATTTTTATTAAAAATGTGAAATTATTTAAAAGCTAATTGGAATCTACCAGATTAATAAGGATATTTATATCGCAAATTCATACAAAAGGAATACTACTCCATGCATACAGTAAGTAACAACTAGCAACACTGCAGTTTAAAAAAAACGATATTTATGTGATTAAATACATAATAATTGCAGACTGATATTCTGAAAAATACATACTATTACCCCTGAAAAACTGATCCCCATTTAAAATTACAGCCCGCACATTGTTTTATACTTGAATGCGTCACAAACCACAAGGTTGTAATTCTCACTAACAAAGCAATATTTAAGTATTCTATTCTATCACTAATATTCAGACCCATTTTGTCACTAATATTCAGGGGAATTATATTTATACCTACTAACTTAATATTCTCTTTAAAATTTAATTAAAATATTGTATTAAAGTTATGTATAAACTACCAAGCTGCCACAGTGGTTTCTACACAGATTTGTTTTAGATATATTTTAGGTCTCGATTTTGAAGGAATTTGTTAACTGATCGGACGAATAGATTGCCATAACCTATATTGTACGTTATAGATATGTAAGTAAGTATAGGTAATAATTTAGCTATCCGTTAATTTAACCAAATATTAATCGAGACTCAATATATTATTATTTTTAATTATTGTAATAAAACCACTGCATTTAAGCATAATTTACACCAAAATAACCGAATTAACGGACATTTGTCTGGCACTACATGCCATACACCACGTCACGAGATGACCTAATGGGAACGATGGAAATAGACAAAGACAACGCACGACAACCATAGAATGGGGAATACGAGTTTATCTGGAGAATTTATTTAACGGGTACCTATATTTGAGTGAAAGTACTCAGTTTTAGTTCAAATATCACGAATGTGTAAAATTATCAAAATGACCAATATTGAGTGAAAATGTACTCAAAAATTTCACTCAATGGATTCACTCCCTACCTTTATTACTTTCACACACACCGATTTTTTTTACATTGTATTTAGGCAAAAGTTTACAGAAAAGAAAACGTATGAAATTTCTTCCACCAGTGAAATATAACTGCTAGGGATAATTTCACTTAATGTTTCTAACGCAAATAAATATATTTCATCTATTTCTGAGTAAGAACCCAATTTCTGGAGAACAAAAAAAAATGTTTCAATTTTGCTTTCATGCAATAAAACAAGTTTTATATTAAATAAATTCCTTTCACCGTAACTATTTACATTTTTCACAGTGACTCGTTTGCTTTTTATATACTTTGTTTCATCTTCAAGAGCGTATTTGCCCTCAGTGTCAACGATTGTAGCACCAGTATTGATAGCGTATGATAGCAAATTTTGCACTGAGTACCTACATGTTTACCGCAAGTGCAGATTTTCTCCACCGGTTACACCTTGTGTGGATGAAACAAAAGAAACTATTTGTAACCATGCTTACTCATACACATACATATCGTAGGATACTGCCAACTGGATTTGCGGATGAAATCAACATGAAAGCCATTCTCCATTACCAAAATATGTTAAAATATTTAAAATATTACAATATAACGCCAGTAGTGACGCTCTATTACCATGACTTACCCCAGTCCCTGCAGGATATAGGGGGTTGGACAAATCCAATGATGGCCAAATACTTTGCAGACTACGCTCGAGTTTGTTTCCAGTTTTTCCGCAGTGTTGAATATTGGATAACATTTAACGACCCAAAAGCCACCTGTAGAAGAGGATATGGATCAGGGACATTTGCACCAGGTATAAACTCAGATGGAGTCGGAGAATATCTATGCACCTACACAGTTCTAAAGGCACACGCTGCAGCTTACCATTTGTACAAAGAAGAATTTAAAGGTTTGAAAGGTAAATGAAATTATTTTAATTAAATGTTTTTCCGTCTTCAGGGACTCACGAATTGATTTGATTTTTAAGCAACTTGATTTGAAGTAAAGTCAAATAATAAAGAGCATATATCGTCAATTAGTTATACTCGTATTTCAAGTAATTCAATGTAATTTGTAGAACAACTTAATAATATCAAGAAATATCATAAAGCGATCATAAAGATAAGATATGCATTTACAAAACAAATGTTTTATATTATAAAAATAAAACATGTTCGTATATCATTTTTTGGAAACAACATATCAACCCCTTAACAAATATAAATGTGTAACTTTTCCTCGTTATTCAGTTTGATACAATAGTAGTTTTTTTCTTTATCCTCCAAGTGGCTCTTTGCAATAGAATAGTTCTCAAAAATTAAGAAAGAAAGATACCTACCTACTAGTATTATTAACAAAAAATCTTTGACTGTTTGGAAGAGTGCGTTCGTGTTTTTTCAAACTTTAGTCATAAAAAATATAAATTAAAATATCGGAAATAATAGACTAATAAAATTTATTCATCACATAATATGATTTTATGTAATTTTAGTATACAAGCTGTTTCAGAAAGACCGCCCGTAAATACAGGGGGTGATAGCACGACCAAAATTAAGAATTTTTTATCTTATGAACTATTATATTTATCTCCTCTTGTTTTCAGTACATAGAGCGACAAAATAAAATTTTGTAAATTAAAATTTCCAAACGGTGCGAGATATTTTTATGAAATTTACTATTCCAGGGTTTTTAAGGATGCCAAATATGCTGGTCTAATTATTTTTTGGATATTTCATAGAGGGCGCTAATTATGCTACATTCCTATTACATTTTAAGTTCAAATTTTTTTAAGGTTAGGTTTTTTACCATTCGAGCTCCAATTTCAGAAGTACAATTTTATCTTCTAAAAATAATGTACTCTTGTTAGAACTTCCTAATGTAGACGGTTTTCGAGAAAAAAGGCTTTTAATTAAACTCAATATTACGATGTATAAAATAAGTGACTTTTCTCGAAGCATGTCAAAACTTGATGGATGTCTTATAAACAACGCATACATTCTTAGTAATATTTTAAACTGTTAAATTTATATCAAAAATTTAGTGATTTTAGTGACTGTATATTTATAGACTATTTATTATGTCATGTGGTATGGAACTACAACGTTGATGGGTTTTTATTGGATGAATCGTTCAAATGGTTATTTAGAATGAAAAATCCGCGGAGTGCTATTAAATTAGAGGGTGGTAATTGGAGATAGGGGTGAAAATGCACTCCTTTCAGCTTTTTAATTGTAACTCGAAAACGAAGCAAAATTTCGCTATAGAAAAAATTGTTTAGGGAATTGAATTTCCCATCGAAATAGCTTATTTAAAAAATTTAAAAGCAAAATTTTATGCAAAATAATCGTTAATAAACAATTTGAAAAAAAGCAAAAAATTCGATTTTCTGAAGTTTTTTTTTTTATTTGAGTAAAAATAGGTATAGGCATTACTTTATAGAAAAAAAGTAGATAAAATTTCCTTCAAAACAAGAGGTTGTAGAGTATTTTTGGATGAAAATTGACTGATATATAGCCGCTTATTCAATTTTTCGATTTTCGTCGCGTTTACCCTTATACGTTTTAATTCTCATTTTTTTTGCAAAAAAGGAAGAAAATAAGATGATCAAGGATTTTCATCACATGACTTGTTCGAAGGGTCATTAAAAATTAAAACCGCGGGGTGCTATTAAATTAGAGGGTTGAAATTGAAGATAGGGGTGAAAATGCACTTTTGCAGTTTTTTAAATATAGCACAAAAACGAAGCAAAATTTCGGTATAGTTCATAAGAAAAATTTTGTAGAGAATTGAAATCGAAATGACATATTTAAAAAATTTAAAAGAAAAATTTTGTGCAAAAAATCGTTAATAAACAATTGTAAAGAAAGCAAAACAATTTTTTTTTATTTTTTTACTTATTTAATAAAATAATTTAGTAAAAACTTTAGAATTTAAGTACAATACAGTTTATTAATAATGTATCTACAGTGCGTCCACTGATGAAGTTGACAAGAGGAGAAATTCTTTTGTTTTTGACTGTATTGAAAAATGTCACTTTATGAAACAATGCATATACCTATCTTTGCTCAGAAAAAAGTTATTTGCATAAAAGTAAAAAAAAAAACAAAAAATTTCATTTTTTGCATTTTTTTTGTTAAATTGTTTTTAATATATTTTGCAGTAAATAAATTTTTTAAATTTTTCAAATTCTATTTCGATAGAAAATCTCATTATCTACAAAATTTTTCCTATATAATACCCTCAAATTTTGCTTCGTTTTCGAGATATACTCAAAAAACCGTAAGGGTTGCATTTCCACCCCTATCTCCAATTTCCATCCTCTAATTTCATAACACTCCGCGGTTTTTTCTTTCTGAATAACCATTTGAAAGATTCATGCAATAAAAACCCATCAACGTTGTGGTTCCTTAGTACACTACTTTTTAAGACATAATCAATAGCCTATTAGTAATGACTAATTACCTAACCTTAAAAAAATTAGAACTTAATATGCAATAGGAATGCAGCATAACTAGCGCCCTCTATGAAATATCCAAAAAATAATTAGACCAGCGTATTTGACATCCATAAAAATCCCGTGATAACAAATATCATAAAAATATTTCGCACCGTTTGGAAATTTTCGTAAAACTTCTATTTAAAAAATTTTATTTTGTCGTTCTGTATCTCGAAAACAAGAGGAGATAAACATATAGTTCATAAGACAAAAAATTCTTATTTTTTGTCGTACTATCATCCCCTGTATTTACGGCCAGTTTTTCTGAAACAGCCTGTACTTTTTCATGTTGCTTGAATTAATATTGAAAAATCCATCAAGTTAAGTATTATTTACGTTAATTAATTAATATTTGACTTTAGAAAATAGAAGATAATGATTATCTAAATGAGGCAGCAATTGTCGTCTATATCTTTACTATGTTTTTTAAACAGTGTAGTAATAGAAGCAAGAGAGGACGTGGAATTAAACAATTTTCATTAAGCAACCATTGGTTGAAACTGTTATGTGTTCCAGAAGATTAATAAAAAATTATTACGTGAAACTTAGGCCGACCCTGCATCACCCTGATTAATTAACCGATTAACTTTCTACTATTCAGTAAACTAGGTCAAGATCAGTGTGATTATTAGCATGGACTGGGTGTCTCATTCACTCTCGTCGACTGAATATTGACTTAGTTGTTTGATTTCAAAGTACTTTATTTAGATAAAGAATTAGCGGCTATATGGGAAGTGCAAATATAATTTAAACTGACTTATTATTTGTATGAGACTCGTTACCCCCAAAGACAAGAACCAAATCCCAGAACAGTGCATAATACTGTTTAAAGACTGCGAGACCACGGTAAAATGAACCCAACGTTGTCCCTTGTCCCGGTCGTGGACAAGAAATGTGTATTAAATAGGAAAGAATACATTTTATACGTCGTTGAGTAAACCCCGAGCCGCAGTACCCGCGATATGCAACGTGATTTTTTTCAGATGTGCTACTGGAGGAGTTACCGTGCCTTTATCATACAACGTGTGCAGGATTTGACTACAAATGATATTTTAGACCACAGGTTGTTTAATAGAAGTTGTTTATTTTCACGTCCTCTACCCCTTTAAAGAAACGCAATTATTTCAGAAACACTATGTATTTAATGTTAATCTCTCTTTCAGGTAAAATGTCTATGGCAATTGACATGGTGTGGTACGAACCATATTTCGCGAATGACAAGGCTGCTGTGGAAAGAAAAATCGCTTTTGAGGTATAAATATGTATTTAGGCCAATCAAAAGAGGTTTTGTTTGTGACAAAAATACTAGTAGCAAACGGACTATGCCATCATATAAAAACAGTCTGTAAATATATACTTACATGTTTCCTACTCCAATTTACCATTAATTTATTTTTTTTTTAACATCTTTATGCAAAAAACGCATTTTTTTAGTTTTTTGCTTATAAAACCTAAACTAACGAAGCAATCTGAATGCTATACAGAGACAATTTGTAGATAATCGAAATACGAATAAAACGAGAGGTCGATCGATTCCATCGGAAAATTAAAAACGAAGAAAACCCGGAAAAATCGAAAAATTAGTTTCATTTTGTCAGTTTGACAACTGAACTCCCAGACTACTTGATATTTCGAAATATTTGAAAAAAATATATGAAATGACTAATATCAAATTAAATATGGCAATATATCAATGTCGAAAAAAATCTATATATTATACTTCAGTTGAAAAGGCCATTATACAGGGTGTTTTTTAATGGAGTAGCATAAATGATACCAGTGAATCTACATTTCAAAAGAACACGATCTGCAAAAAATCGCCTTAGTAAAATGTTCACCCCTGAAGAGATATAGGCCATCAAAGTTTCCAAAAAAATTATGAAAATTGGCTGTAATTTGAAAACCGAACGAGGTACAAATAACAAATTTTTTACAGGTTGTTTACTAATACAGATGCGAGTTTTCAACTATTTTTCGAAAATTTTAACCCCTCGAAAGGGGTTGAAATAACCACCCCTCAAGCCATTTTTTGCCATAACTTTTATATTTCGTAAAAACTCGATATCCAAAAATACGCATTAGATAAACTGGTTCTTTTAGAAACTTTTACCTCTCTAGCAATTTTCCTTTAAAACTTTTCGTTTATTAATAAAAAAATAAAATGTATTACCATTCACCTCACACCGTATATGATTGCAATCAATCAAAGAAAAACTAAGTGTGCTGCTGTCATGCCAGTTGTCACAATTAACTCTTCTGTAAGTTGTCACTGTTATCAGCTAAATACTTTTTGGGTGTAAATTAACAAGAATTATGCCAAATTTTACTAATGATGAATATGTGGACATGCTACAAGTGTTTTTTTCTACGATCGTGCAAAATTTACTACTTATTGCACTACCTACTGTGCCAAAAGTTTAACTTTTTTTACAGTAGTACAAAAAAAATATTGATTACAAGTTTAATCTAAGCATATCCATAAGTACCTAACGTCTGACATTGACAATTTGCGCAATTAATTTCCAGTTGTCAGTTAAAATTTTAATATTATGTAAAATACTGTTAAATAAAATTTGAAATAAAAACAATCGTAGAAAAAATGTTGCGTGCAACATGTGCAAAAAGCATATTTGTTGCACTTAACATGATTGCAGCTCTCAACTTCGTCTCGAGCTGCAAACTTCATGCATCGTACAACAAATACACACTCTTTACAGTAGTTGCACAAATAACTGTTTGAATGTCGCAGAAACTTTTATTAAATAGAAGTACAATGAAAACGAAACTAAGAAATAATTTATTATCAAAAAGAGAAAAAACAAAAAACTTAGTTAAAGGACATTTTCAAAATAATTGCCATTTCTTTCTAAACACAACCTAACACGTTTATCAAAGTTGTTACGGACTCGAGCAAAAATTATGGGATTGTTGCGAATCTCATCAGCCGCCGCGAATATTCTTTCCTGTAGCTCTTCAACACTGTCAACTGGGGTCGCATAAACAATACTTTTTATATGTCCCCAAAAGAAAAAATCCATGGGCGTTAGATCGGGAGAACGTGCAGGCCAAGAGATAGGTGCCTCATTGCCGCGACCTATCCAACGATTCGGGTAATTTAAATTAAGCCACCGCCTAACTACTACAGTGCTGTGAGCAGGAGCCCCGTCATGCATGTACCACATGGCCTGACGTACATTTAATGGTACTTCCTCCAGAAGTGGTGGTAGATGCTCATTTAAGAACTGCAAATATTCAACAGCACCAAGTCGATGAGGTAAAACAAAAGGGCCGACAAGCACATTTTCTACAATTCCTGCCCAAATGTTTAAACTAAAATTATGTTGAAATGTTGTCATAGATACTTCGTGAGGATTTTCATGAGCCCAGGAATGAAGATTGTGCATATTGGTTAAACCATGTCTTTGAAAAGTTGCTTCATCTGTGAAAAGTATCTTTGAGGCAAAATTCAAATTATTTCTTAGAATATTAAGATACGATTCGCAAAAAACAACTCGCTTATGCATGTCTGGTTCAAGTAGAGCTTGAACTGGCCGGTGGTGAAAAGGATATAATAAATTATCATGGACAATATTCCAAACAACACTATGGGACACATTTAAGTGCATTGCTGTTTTTCTCGTACTAGTCTGACGATTTTCGTCAAACTCTTCAAGTACTGCATCCTCAAGATAAATAGTACGAACAGTAGGTCTTCGGCCGGTACCCTCAATATGCGGCTGTATTTTTCCAGTTTCCCGAAGTCTTCGTTCTACCGCCGAAAAAGTTTGTCTGTGGGGAACTTGACGATTTGGATATCTCTCATTATACGCTCTTGTTGCCGCAGCACAGTTTTTGCGACATTCAAAATACACTTGTAGCATGTCCACATATTCATCATTAGTAAAATTTGGCATAATTCTTGTTAATTTACACCCAAAAAGTATTTAGCTGATAACAGTGACAACTTACAGAAGAGTTAATTGTGACAACTGGCATGACAGCAGCACACTTAGTTTTTCTTTGATTGATTGCAATCATATACGGTGTGAGGTGAATGGTAATACATTTTATTTTTTTATTAATAAACGAAAAGTTTTAAAGGAAAATTGCTAGAGAGGTAAAAGTTTCTAAAAGAACCAGTTTATCTAATGCGTATTTTTGGATATCGAGTTTTTACGAAATATAAAAGTTATGGCAAAAAATGGCTTGAGGGGTGGTTATTTCAACCCCTTTCGAGGGGTTAAAATTTTCGAAAAATAGTTGAAAACTCGCATCTGTATTAGTAAACAACCTGTAAAAAATTTGTTATTTGTACCTCGTTCGGTTTTCAAATTACAGCCAATTTTCATAATTTTTTTGGAAATTTGATGGCTCATATCTCTTTAGGAGTGAACATTTTACTAAGGCGATTTTTTGCAAATCGTGTTCTTTTGAAATGTAGATTCACTGGTATCATTTATGCTACTCCATTCAAAAACACCCTGTAGACCTCGCATTATATTATATAAAGATGCTCGGTACATAATAGCTTACGTCACAACCTAAGTATACAATATACTATTTTTTAACCCGATGAACTGATTTTCAGAACAAAATCATCTTGTTCTGAAAACGCTAAATAAAATGTAAATACCTAAATAAAAAATCAAAATTATTAAATTAAGCTAATTTTTTTTTACAGTTTGGTTTGTACGCTAATCCCATTTATAAAGGGAACTGGCCCCAAGAAGTTATAGATAGGGTTGACTACAGAAGCGAGAAGGAAAATTTCACAAAATCTCGCCTCCCTAAATTCACCGATGAAGAAATTAATTACATAAAGGGTACTTCGGATTTCATGGCAATCAGCCTGTTTTACACAATCATTGTAAAAGATATTAAAGAAGCTGAATTTGGTGACCCCAGCTACATGAAGGATGTAAAGGTGGAATTGTATTTAAGAACAAGTTGGAAACTGGCAGTAAATGGGCAACCGGTATGTAGGTATATTTGAATAACGTTATAATTTTTGAGTACTTCTCTGCTTATTTATATTCTCATAATGATGTTAAGACTAACAATATTAACATAAATTTTATAAAGGCAAAACCATGTCTGTATGAAATTCCAATCGTATACAAACAAATCTAATACATGTTTTATTTTTTGAATTAAATAATTTTCTCAAAAGTCTATAGAAAGTTTGGTTCTAAATTAACTTAAAACTGATCAAGTCTCAAAACCTTCGGTTTTTTAAATTCTGATCTGGTCAAAAATTGAAATTTTAAGATAAACGTAGAACAGATATTTTTATGAACATTTGAAAAGCAATTCAAAAATTTAGTTGAGTTTCAGTGATTTTATTTTCGATTGCGACAATTTTATATATTCTATGTGAATCCCCTACACTTTGGGTCCACTTTAAACTCTTTTCATGTACTTAAAAATCAATAATATATACAATATTACATCATTTCTTATTCTGATATGTTTCAAATACATGAGAATAAACAAATATCGATAATAAAAAATTACAAAAAATTACAAATTGTTGTTGAAGTTAATTCTTATCAAACCCTTATCTCTTCACACGAGATAATTTAGTTAAAAATATATTATGAAGAAACTAACTAACACTGCCATAGATAAGTCAACAGAAGAAATTAAAAATAACTTTGATTTAGGTCATGATTGGAAACAACAACAACGATATAAAATGGACGACGACTTTTCCTACAACGATTCCTAAGATCTCTATTATCCTTTTAAAGATTAAAGCACGTGAGACGTAGTTTCTGATCAATTAAGAACCGTTAAATTAGACCAAATAGTCTACGATGTTCTGCGAACGAGTGTTCCACATTGTCATGGTTTTTGTATCGTGTATTTTATGAAAAAAAAAACTCAAGAGTCAAAAGTTCTCTTTTCATAGAATATTGTCTGTCTAAATCCATAAACGATTTTGTTTAACATTAAATATTTCTCTTTGAGACTTAAACTCTGCAGGTCTTTAATTTCGACGCTACTGATTAGTTTTTATTTAAATTTTGGGTATCTACTATCACGAAACTATAATACCGAATTTTAATCTACAACTTGATCGATTGTTGAGTTATTTCACGTCCAATAGTTGAGGGAGATTAGTGCGTAATTTTGATTTAACTACCTTTGTTGCCTTTTTTTTACCTTCCTCCTTACTTTCAATTACATCCAACCTAAGCATATAGAAAGTTGAATATATTAAACATAAACGAGGAATTCGTCAACTTATTCTTATCAACATGACCCAAAAGTAACATAATCCAATTTATATTTGAACTTCACATCTAAAAGTTCGAAAACAACTAAATTAGTGACAATAAATATTCCAAATGAAGTATTTATAGGTACCTACAACTTTACAAAAAAAATGCCTTTAATTTATTATGAAATTTATATTTTTTCAATTGAATATTGTAATATTACCTATATAAACAAAAACACGAATAACAGTAATTATTTAAATTAAGCGAAAATTTGAGTTTGGAAGGTACAACTTCAAGTATATGGATGGAACTGATTTCTGTGTGAATTTAGAAACAAATGTGATATTCTCAATTTTACCATCCTTCCAACATACTCCTCTCTTTCTACATATTTTTACTGAATTATGTTTTATTTATGTTTTTACAGATTGTTCCACAAAGTGCTAGGCAGGCCTTGGCTTGGTTGAGTTCGTCATTTGATGATCCTGAAATATTTATTACAGGAAACGGTATTCCAGACAGCGCTAAACTTGGAGACAAAACCAGAGTCAGTTACTTTCGGGTAAGAAATACTCCTGAATTAATATATTTAGAAATCATTAAATTATTATTATTTGTCATTAGGATTATCTCAAAGCAATACTTGATGCAATCGAGAAAGACGGAGTGAATGTTATTGGGTACACAGCTTGGAGTTTTTTGGATAGTTTCCAATGGACAGATGGATACACGTAAGATGTTTTTATCACACAAGACACCATATCTTTCAATAATTCTTTGATCCTTTGATTTTTTTTTCAATATTAAAATCACACACTTTAAAATTATTTAAACTTTCATTCATGTTGCATAATACGTGCTAACAAATTAATGACGACGAAACATAAATAAGTGCATCTATTACACTACGAGTTCTAGAATGTCTAAAAAAGTTATTAAAAGGACTTATTGAATATAATAATTAACCCTTAAAGGTCACACTAGTGCGAATTGGGATTCTGCCAACTTTGAACTTTATGTCTTCTTTATTTGTTACCGAAATCAGCGTATTTATATCAAAACTGGGGTAAAGTTTTCCGAAAAATCGAATGATGTAATTGTTAATAAAAAATGGGATTGAAAAAAAAAACATTTTTCAAAAAATTACTTTTTTAAATTCGTATTTTTTAAATAAATAATAGCCATAGAAAAAGTAAAAAAGGATCTTGAAGTTCAGAGTGTATATTTTTAAGAAAAAAATATCCCATATTGATAAAATGATATTATCAATTTTTCCAGGTATCTCGATTATAACTCTAAAAACACTAAAGTCACACTAGTGCGAATTTGCACCGATCGGACTTTTCAGACTCTCTAGTTTGGCCGATAATAACAGACTGAGGCCAGCTATGGTACGGCTCGACTTTTTGGGCTATGGAAGGAATTGTCATAGTGGGGGAATCCTCGGCAGCTGCTATCTGAGACATGCCAACTGTTCAAAAAAAAACTATGCTGCGAATTCGCACTAGTGTGACCATTGATGGTTAAATTAATTTATCCTTACTAGCAGTGAAATGTTAATTAAAAATCTATTATTAAATGGTACAAATAGATCACTATATAACTCTTTTGTTTCAGTTATAAGTTTGGCTTTTATTGGATGGATTTTGAAAATGGTTATAGACTGGAGAAAGATTCTTTAGTGTTTTATCGGCAAGTCGCTAAAACGTTTACTATACCCGAAGAAGTAACCACAACAACTTCCGCTGTTACAACTGACGTTACTGATCCTACTGTTTCAGATACCACTCCCGGATCTGCCACAAAAATGGCCTTATATTCTTCAGTAATATTAACAATAGTAATTATACTCCAAGTATTACTTTAAATCAAAAAATGAATATGACATGCTTTGAGCAGTACCTACGAATTGCAATATTTTTTATTAAATCTAGTCAATATTCTATTTACTTCAGGAACGCGATTCTTGTATTAAGAGAAGTAGTATCTCCTATGAGAAAATGACGTCACATTTCCAAGTTGTCTCTTCCAATCTTTAAATGTTTAGGTACATCATATTTATATAATTGTCTTATAGAAATTAATTCAATTCGAGAACAGAATTCCAGAGAAAAATCTGTCCTTATTTTATACACTACATCTTGTTATTTATTTAATTTCAGAAGTATTAGATGAGAAATTAATTATGAAAAAATAAAACTTTTCTAAATTTGTTTCGAATAAAAAACAATACTTAACTGAAATAATTTAATGAAGATATTCTAATTATAATGTTAATTAAATATTTTTATGATAATCAGAACTAAGATTAAATGTATATTCGTAGCTATCGTCTGAATTTAGACAAATTTATAAATATTTATTACAATTTTTAGTTTTAATAGAAAAATTAAAGAAATTAATTAAAGTAATTAATTAATAATTAATAAATTGCTTAATGTATCATATAACAATTCTTATTTATTACTTTTTTATATAAATGTATACGAATTCTTTTCAAATAAAACGCGATTGCTTATANTTACAATTTTTAGTTTTAATAGAAAAATTAAAGAAATTAATTAAAGTAATTAATTAATAATTAATAAATTGCTTAATGTATCATATAACAATTCTTACTTATATTGTTTTAATAAAATTGTTATAATTTTCATAATAAAAAAAGTTAATTCAAAATTTAGTTTACGTAATCTGGATAATTAAATAGATTAGCCTCATGAAACACATTAAACAGGAAATATTAAATTTGTAATGTATAATCAATTTAACTTGACATGCAAAATTCGTTTGAAAAACTCTGAATACGTATTTCGCTCCTACATCTGTAAAGTGTTTACAGCGATGGTCATGGTTACCGTCTCACAGCAGTAAAAGAAGGAGTGGGAGTAGTGCATATTTACTATGCAGTTTGGCCTCTAATCCGAGCGAATTAGACGAAACACATGCCCGTTTCAAAAATAACGCCTACGTCGAATTTTATAGGTTTAAAACTAAGTAAAAAATACACATATTAAAAACCGAAATTTATGTATTTGTAGAGGTCGAGCGTCATATTGTTTACAACAAAAGAAAAAAAAATAATTGCTCTTTTTTTAGTTTTTCGCTTATATCTCCGAAAATAAGCCTCTAATCGACATGTGGTATACTGATGTTAGCGATGAAAAAAAACTGTGCAAAATTGTGTTACTTACATATCGTTTCCTCTGTATCTTTTAAAAGATTGTAAAAATATAAATTGATTGTAATGACACACCAACAGCAACGCTGTCTATTGAAAAATCAATAGTGCGATAAATACCAAACTTTAATGGAAAAGTAATAGAAAAGTTTATTTCGGACAAAAGCAAAAGAATGGACTTTCACTACAAAAAATAATGTTGAACACATTTTCTCTATGTACTTGAAATAAAATTGCCCAATTATATTTAATTTTCAATACTTTGTACCTAAATTTTTCCGTCCTCTGCCCTCGCCTCTAATTCTGCCATATATCTACGATTCTCTTAATCTCAGAAAACACGTTGTCGCGTTCGAAAGTCATTGATATTGTTTATTTGAATCCGTTGTGATACAGTTGTTTTGTTTGTTTCAATTTCATACATTGTTATTAAAAACCTTCCTTAAGAAGTTGTAGAGTTGTAGTTGTAGTTCTCTTTAAATTAAGTGACCATTGAGTGGAGTGTAACACCCTATACGGCCAACCCATGGATCAAACGCTATGTGAGTAAAAGAACGGTAATTACCTGAAATTCAATCTATGAACGTACATTTCTAAGTTTCCACGTATTATAATTAAAGTGTAAATTATAATCGATGACCTCTCTTTCACAAATTGATGTCATTGTTGTACTGATCCTAACGATGGTTAAAGAAATAACCCATCAGTTACTAAAACATATTCTCTAATCGCAAATATTGGGACTTTCTTTGTCATTTTTTATGTATGTAGCTCAGTTGCAACATCAATAGGCGATTTTATTCAGTCAATCAAATTATTAATTTATAATTTAATTTTTGAGGTATTACAACTTCTTTAGATAGAATATACAGGGTGTTTAGATAAGTCTGTACAAATTTTAAGGGGGTGAAAGTAGAGCCAAAAATAGTAAAAAAAGTTCCTATAAACATTGGCCCTCAGGAGCACCGTTACTGAGATATGGCCCTACAAAGGGATCTCATCCTTTGGATATTTTTTAAAATAACTTTCTTTCTGATTAAGATAACGGAATGAAAATTGTAGGTAATAATCATTAATCATACCATAAGGGTCTTTAACTACCATAAAATTAATCAAAATAGGTTATAAATAAGGATAGTTTTGTAACTACTCTTAACAGAAAATTTTCGAATTTTTTTTATTCCTTTGAATTATCAAACCATATAATATTTTTTAATGAATTAGACTTTTTTGAAGAAAAAATGTCTGCTTTTTTTTCGAATTTTGCGTAGTTTATTCACAAATAATTATTTTTTAAATAATGTAGGTATGTATTTTTTTAAATAAATTTTTATTTTGAATTTTAGGTTATAACTTTGAAACACAAAATGCATAAAAAACATAAAAAATCTTAATTCCGATTGCGAAGCAATGATTCAAATTGTCCACCCTGGACCGACATACAGGCACGTAATCTTCTTAGAAAGTTGAATCGAAAATTTCATGTTGAATTCGTATGGCATCGGAAGCTTCACCAATACGTTGACATAACTCTTCAGTGGTAGTCACAGGCGTAGCATATACCATTCTTTTTACGTCGCCCCATAAGTAAAAATCATCCACATTTAAATCCGGCGAACGAGGTGGCGCGTCACTTCCACGACCAATCCATTTTCCCAGAAATGGTCGATTTAAAAAATTCCGCACTTGCTGAGCATAATGTGGAGGAGCTCCATCTTGCAAAAAAAACATGTTTGCTCGTAGTTCAAGTGGAATCTCGTCTAGCAGGTCTAGAAGATCATTTTCCAAAAAGCTTAGATATTCAACACTTCACAATCGATTCGGTAGAAAGAATGTCTCCAAAAGATGATTGCCAACAATGCTGAGTAAAAACACAATGGTTCATGGTGGTAAAAAAATCGAATGAAAAGTAAAATTGAGCACAAAGGTCACAACTAAGAAATAAAGAAACATAATATTTAAATCATAGCACGCGAAAGTGACAATCATTAGTTCATTACAATGAACCTGTCACTATGAAAGATGCCTATTATGTAAAAAAGTTTTAAAAAATGTTCTGTTCTGAGTCATACATTATTTAAAAAATAATTATTTCTGACTAAACTACGCAGAATTCGAAAAAAAAAACTAGACATTTTTTCTTCAAAAAAGTCTAATTCATTAAAAAATAATATTATTTGCGTGATAATTCAAAGGAATAAAAAAAATCGAAAAATTTCTGTTGAGTAGTTACAAAACTGTCCTTATTTATAACCGATTTTAATGAAACTTATGGTAGTTAAAGACCCTTATGGTATAATTATTACCTTCAATTTTCATTCCGTTATCTTAATTAGAAAGAAAGTTATTTTAAAAAATATCCAAATGATAAGACCCCTTTGGAGGGCCATATCTCAGTAACGGTGCTCCTGAGGCCTAATGTTTATAGGGACTTTTTTACTATTTTTGGCTCTACCATCTTAAATTTTGGACCAACTTTTTCAAACACCCTGTATTTCACTAATATTAAAGCATAACTACTTACTACTGACTAAACCCTGTTCAGCATTTACATAATTGCGCAATATCTATTTCTTCTTCGATGCTGTGAATCCTTAAAATACTTTTCCTGGAGGGAAATTATCATTAATCATTGTTTTATATTCTGCTCGAAAACAGTGTAAGTAATTATTTTTGGAAAAAGATATCAATAATCTCGAGAATTGTCAAATTGTACCTATAAGTTTTGAAACATTAGGAAAAATTCCCATAAGATAACTAATTTGAACGACTGACAATTTTACTTGACTGTAAAGTTTACAGTTGAATAAAATTTGCAGTCCCAGTAGAAGACAGTAAAACAGTTTAATTTAAATTTATAAAAAAATACGTACTTATATAAAATATTATTGTTTATANCACTATCAAGGTAGAAAGTGCCAGAACCTTCCCAAAGGGTATTTCCTTTGGTACGGGAACATCCGCTTATCAAACCGAAGGTGCTTGGGACCAAGATGGAAAATCTGAAAATATATGGGACCGTTGGATTCACAGTGATCCATCACGCATAAAAAATAATGAGACCGCTGAAGTCGCTTGTAATTCTTATAGGGAACCACTAATTGGCCCATATTTCTCATCGCTATTGGACGTCCAACATTACCGTTTTTCTATATCATGGAGCAGGTAAACTCAAAAACACTGACTTCATCATTCATTTAAATACAACATATTGAATCTGAAATACACACATATTAAACAACATGTCGAACATGTAATTAGTGCGATTTTTACACAAAAAGAAATAGGAATAAAAAAGTCTAATTTGAAATGAACATGGGTGATTTTTTAATAAAAAACTTGTTGAGAATCGTTGACCACACTGTGTCATTTACGAGTCGCATAGATCAACTATGCAGATGTTATACGAAATTCTTAAACTCATTTTTTTATGATATAGGACGGAAATTTTGAAATATCTTATAAAAAAGTTTATAGCTTCATACTGCTCTTATGATTTCCGTTTTTACTAATAAACTATTACGTAGATAAATATTGGACTTTGGTCAAAGGATGGCTACCAATATTTCTTTACAATTTATTATGTTTATTATATTTTCAGTTAATCACGTTTCTTCATATTTGTATCAAATGTACACTAAATGTGTTATATTGTCTTCCGATTTATCAGCTTACTTTCATTTGGAATATTTCTTTCACAGACTATATGCAACATATATATGAATTCTCCATTCGTGCGAATAACCAAATTCTATTTGAGTGTATTCATTAAAAATTTTAATTCAACTTAAAGGCACATACTTCATGTGGTTCCTTCGAGGAACACTGATCGTAAAATTTTTATTTACAGGGCGATTTTGACCAGGTCATTTTTGGAGGATCAACAATTCCTCAACGAAAATTTTAGAGGTCATTGGATTGGCCATAGGGG